CTCCGTGCCAGTCATGAGGGTGAAGCAAGGAGAGGGTTTTTAGACGTCATTCTGAATACTGCAGTCTCCTTGTTTTCTCCTTGATTTTCTACTTTGTATTTAAAAGATTTACTCGTCTCCGAAGCAGAAAGTCCAGGTTCGAGCCTCGGTTCGGACACGGATTTGTGTCACCCCCCTCGACCAGCAATAACTGGTACCTGGTTTCAAGTTGGGGAAGTAAAGGCGGTGTGTAAAGGAACTGGCCACCCTACCACAATATTGCCGAAGGCCCAGGAAGTTGTCTCACTAACAAGGCAATTCCCGATGTCCAGATCGGATGTGGGCACAACTTTAACTCTGTTTTTGTGTCCCTGGAAATGTCCTGTCTTAGTAGTACTCGTAATAATAGCCTGGTGGGTAGTTGGCTGGCGTTCTAGGGTGGTTTGCTCTTTCTTTCCTGTCAGTCATCTGTCGTCTTTATCTCTCCTCCTTCGTTTCTTTGTATCTTACTCTCTAGTAACATCTATAATCTCTTACACTTATATGGGCCTAATTGTGTTGGAAGTGCCGTAAAACGCTTACTTAAACTAAATAGTGTCACCGATATGATCAGATGTACCGGACCATACGAGTGGAATTATTGCTGTAACTTGTATCCGCGGAACTGTTCGTGTAGTGTTATTGGGAATTGAAAAAAATAACACGAAAACAGGGTTTGAAGACAACAGGAGCTACTACAAGGCCAGCAGAGCGGGTGGTTGATGGGCGCCGCTGTTAGGTCCTACTTCTTTGCTTTCCATCTGCTGCTTCTGTCTGTCTCTCCTACTTTTTCCCAGCACTAAATTACCAATATTGTGTAGATGTGCATCTCTTATTGTGTTGCAAGTGCCGTAAAACTCTTACTAAAACTAAATCTAAAGCTTCTCTTTACTAAACAAACAAGGCTAGCAGAAAATATCAACCTGTTCACTTGGGTGGTTGGCGGGTGCTGTGGTGTGGTCTGCTTCTTCTTTCCTATCAAACATCTATCGTCCTCATCTCCCCTTCTTCTTTTTTATGTTTGTTACTCTCTTGTAACACCTTTTATCTTCTGGCTCTTATAATATGACCTTATTATGCAGTTGTGAGCACCGTAAAACCTCTACTAAAACTAAACTAAAACTACCTTTTCACGTACCGGTAGTTCAGAAGAGCGCGCGTGTCCGCCACTGATGGGTCCTTCTTCTTTTCTTTCCCTCTGTTGCTGTTGCGTTTTCTTGCTTTTCTTTCAGCATCGTCTGTGTCGACGTGCTTCTTTTAACGTAGACAAACACCAGACCCGACCGGACCATAGGAGTGGGTCGTTGGCAGGTGCTCTGGTGTGGTTTGCTCCTTCTTTCCTATCAAGCATCTGTCGTCCTTTTCTCTCCTCCTTTTTTGTGTTTGTTTTGTTAATGATCTTATTGTGTTGCAAGTGCCAGTGGGTCGTTGGCGGGTGCTCTAGTGTGGTTTGCTCCTTCTTTCCTATCAAACATCTATTGTCTTTATCTCTCCTCCTTCTTTTTTGTGTTGGTTACTAAAACTTTTACTAAAACTAAACTGAAAGTGCCGTAAAACTCTTTACGAAAACGAAAAGTATCGTCATTGTGTCGGACCATAGGAGTGGAGAAATTGCTGCATACTTGCTAGAACGATGGGTTTTTTTCGGTAGGGGTTGGGGTTATTTCTGTTATTTTCATTATGATCTTGGAAATGGGATATCAACAAAACCAGACTTTTGTTGTTTCTGCGAGCAAAAAAATAGGAAGCCAAATAGAACAGTTATTATTCCAAGCATTAATGGTTGTTGTTTTTTATTAGCCCGACATTAGTTGTATCTATTTACTGTGTATTTGTGTGCAAATGCAACTTCGTAAATTTTCAGTTGTTTTCACGAAATCGCTTGGGCATCCCTTTGCTTGCATTCACTGTAACTTTTCATACGAGAAATACTAATTGTTATTATAAATAAATAATTGTGCAATCAGGTAAACGAGGCCTTACAGACCAGCAGAAAACAGTATGTCACTTTCTGCGAGTTTCACGGCGCGCACTCATGCTTGGGCCCGCATTGATACTCTCATGTAAATGTCCCATGTCCACCGAGGAAAAGAGGAATGAGAAGGGAGAATGGTTTTTAACAGGGAAAAAAAAAGAACAAAAGAAAAGAAAAGAAAAGCCAGCGCCAGGGACATTGGGGCCTAGCCGATGTTTCGTGGAAGGCAAATACTGTGATCTGATCTGCTGAGGTTCAAACTTTATTCATGAAGTTTCGATTTTTCATTGCTATTCGCGTAACTTACTTTTTGGTTCACAGGGCTTCTTGATAATGGCTTGTGGTTAAAAATAGCCCATGGTGATGTGAATGATATGTTGTGAGCCCAACGGGCTGTACAAAGGAAGTATTGAAAGTTACGCGCATGTTTGAAATGGTGGGGGTTTTTGGGTTGTTGTTGTTGGTTGTTTTTTTTTGGGGGGGGC